TGAAAGCCTTTGACAACACATAGGGCAGAGTTTGCTTTGTCAAGTAGGTGCTGTCTTTCTATGATGGCAAAGTACAAATTGACAATTGAACAGTGGCATCTCAAACTTAAAAAAAATGGGGCAGTGGGATCCAACAATCAGACTGCTATTATATTATATGGATAATACAGCACGGCATAGTTAATATAACTATCAAAGTAGATCTTCTGGTTCTAAAAACACAGGCCCCAGAGGATGAGAGGATGCCTTCAAAATCCTTCCTTACCACGGCATTCTGTGGATTCGCTTGTTCATCATGCATCTCTCTAATTTCCTGTTCTGTGGAAGCATGAACTTGACTCAAAACGCTGAACCACTGACTGCAGAAACAAGAGAGAAAAACAGAGTCAGCATTAAAAATATGTAACTAATCCATTGTCTCTATTTCTTTTTGAATTCTTTCTTAACACAAACAATCTACTTTATAATCAAAGAAGGTTGCATTAAAATAAACCCTAAAGAAACAGAATGGGGAAAGATATAAAAAGAAAAAAAGAAGAAAAAGTGAGAGGCACATATAATTAACACCCAGTGGGGCTCCAATTACCCCAATATTGACTCTAATGAAAAGAAAAGAAGCAAGAGGGAACTAAATAATTCTTCTAAAATTACTAATAACCATAACCACAGATTATTATATGGTTATATTCTTATTGCTAATATATACATATCTTTTGGAAGTATTTGAAGGAAAGGAAGAAGAAAAAAAGCTAAAAGGGTGACTCTCCCAAGCCCCCAAATGCGCACGCACCCCATCCACCCATCCCACATGCTCTCAACTCCCAGTCAGTCCCACTAAATAAAAAGAATAAAAAATAAAGGAAAATCAAAAAGACTAAACTGTGATGCCAGGGGAGGAGATGCTGAGATCGGCTACCATATGGTCCTGTTATGGACGGGAATCTGTAACGGCTGGGCCCTTGCTGTTAAGGGCACCCAAACAAACAGAAGAAGCCGGATTGGTTGAAGGAAACTGCTAAAAACGGATCCATTCAATTTCTGTGTATGATTCCACTGAACAACAATATTCTGAGTTTCATTTGTCCTTTAAGGAACTTGGGGGCAGCTTATATTGAGGTTGTTTCATTCCTACAACAACCTAAGGTGCAGACCTTGGAGAGCTACTTTTAAGAAGAATGAATATAATAATATACTGAAGCCATCCACTATTGAGCAGTGGTAGGATGACGTTCTGGGATCAAAAGCATTATCTTGCCATGGGACCTTATCATGTCACTATAGCCATTCTTCTTAAAATTAATTTTCCAGGTTCTGCTTTTGTGGTAGCTCAGAGGGAAAAAGAGAGAAGCAGAGTTGCTCAAGGGCACCCCTCAATACATATATTAGGTTTTAAAGGACAATTGATTCCTAAAGATTAGGCAGTCACACAAACACACACGAAGGGGGTGACCACATTTTTAGTGGCTTTGGATTCACTGAACAGAACAATTGTAGTCTAAGTTAAATTGGCTAAATATTAACTTTCAATTGGAGTTTCTGTTTGAAGTACTTTACGCTAATCTCTGGGCAAAGGTGAAAACAGATAATAACTAACTTTTTTGACATATTTTCCAATATCAGAGGAGTTGAACAAAGCACTATTGTTGGCTGTTTTCTGCTAAATGTTCAGATGAATCAGGATCGTCTAAGGCAGGCATGGGTAAACTTTGGCCCTTCAAGTGTTTTGGACTTCAGCTCCCATTTCTAACAACTGGTAGGCTGTTAGAAATTGTGGGAATTGAAGCTCAAAACACCTGGAGGGCTGAAGTTTGCCCATGGCTGGTCTAAGGGACCCAACTGGCACAACAAATAAAAACAACAATTCTTTCCTATACAACTTGTACGTTACCATTCAATGTGCTATTGGCCAATAGGATAGAAATTGCTTTTATAAAGAAGGACTAGACATAAACAAGGACCAATAGACCAGAGCTTATTATAACTAGGTAATAGACACATACTAGGTAATAGACATAAAAAGGTAATAGACACATACTTAAGGGTGGTTACCACTTTAAGGGTGGTTACCATAGGGTGGTTACCCTATGACCCTTGCTATCATGCTCTCCCTTATTTTACCTTTGGCTAGCCATACTAGATTTCAAGATAGTCCTAGAACAAAAGGATCTTAAACTGACAGCTTGGAAACATTACCGCTCCGGGTTATAATATCTGAATATGACCAGTTACCATACCCATTGGCTGTTGTAATTCAATATGTTTTCACCCCAAATACTTGATCCAAATTACTCTACTAATTCTTATATTTGGAAATCTGGCTTCCAAAAAATTCCAGCTTTAGTTACAGTTAGTTAGTTAGTTAGTTATTATTTTCTTGGAAAATGCTAACAACCAATTTGCCAGTTTTATACATTCTCAGCAACAGGACAAGAAAAGATACATCCACTATATTCATCAATAAGAATATTATTTTGGCCATGACAGTAATAAATGCCATAGAAATGGGTGCTGCTTTAATCTCAAAAAGTTCCTGTTCTTCCTAATTAGAAAAAAAAAACAGGAATTAACAATAAATATTCTAATATTCTTAATCTTCCCTGCTCTTACAAACTTAACAGTGAAGGTTTCAAACCAAGAAATGATGAAGGCAATCATCAAGATATTTGACTTGAGGAAGAAAATTAGTAGCCTGAATTGCTTGTCCTCTACTTCATCACGAAGGCGTTTCCCAATCATGCTCCAGGAGTTTTAAAGCCAATATTCCTAATTAAATTAGCAGCACAGAGAATGGGAGGAGGTAGTCTTTCAGTTATCATGGCCACATGCTGTTTAAGGCTTTGTAGTTAAAACCATTGCCTTGAAATAAGCTCTGGGCAAACTGGAAGCCAGAACAGTTCTTGCAAGACTGCTAATATATGTTTTGTATGGCCCTCAGTCCTTAAGATCAGGGATGCTGTTTTAACTGTTTGTGCTTTAAAAACTATTTGAAAGATGTTTTGGACGTTTTTGCAATCATTTTATTTGTGGATGTATTGTTTTTTAAATCTGTTGTAAATTGACATAGAACCTGTTCACGCTGGCCCAAAATCATGAATTGTGTCAGAAGTCACTTCTGGACATCCACATGACGTCCAGGCATTTCCAGCACATGTGTGGTAAAACCAGTTATCTGAGTTACCCTGCATTAGCAGATGTCGGGGAATAACCAGGAATTTCCCTCAAACTCCTGTGTAGCCCTGCATTTCTGGGTTGGTATGGACAGCTGGGCCAATTCTAAATTGAAGTAGCCCAAGCTACCACAGATCGGTGTCCCATTCCCTTTCCCCTGCACTTCACAGCAGTCATTCAAGTGATTGAGCTTCAATTGAGCATTTAGTGAAGTAAACAAAGGCATCCGCATGACTTCAGGAAAAAGAGGGGGGAGGTCACCCCCTCCTACACCCTGGTAAGATTTAATCACAGATGTAAGTCTTTGCTATGTGTGGCCTCCGCTCCTAACTCTCAAGTGCTAAAGGTAAAGGTAAAGGTTTCCCCTGACATTAAGTTTAGTTGTGTCCGACTTTGGGGGGTGGTGCTCATCTCCATTTCTAAGCTGAAGAGCCAGCGTTGTCCATAGACACCCCCAACGTCATGTGGCCACCATGACTGCTTGGGGCACTTCTACCTTCTCGCAGAAGCGGTACCAACTGATCTACTCAAATTTGCATGTTTTCAATACTATGTTGGCAGAAGCTGGGCCTAACAGTCGGAGCTCACCCTGCTCCCCGGATTCACACTGCCAACCTTTCAGTCAGCAAGTTCAGCAGTTCAGCGGTTTAACCCGTTGTGCCACCAGGGGCCCTTCTCAAGCACTAAAGGGGGGGGGGTCATTTCATCCCCCTGCATTCATATATTGTTGAAAAAAGACTCACAGTGTATTATTTCCATGAGATTTCCTTCAAAGTAATAAATAATGTTCCTAAATTGACCCTTTTTCTATAATTTTTTTCTTTTTCTTTCCACTAACAAACCACAACCAAGGATAAGAAATTTCCTATCCAAAAATTACTGATTTTTTTTCCCATTGAGGGGAATGCTCTATTTAGCTTTTTTTTTTTTTTTGCTTGTCAGGAGCAACTTGAGAAACTGCAAGTCGCTTCTGGTGTGAGAGAATTGGCTGTCTGCAAGGACGTTGCCCAGGGGACGCCCGGATGATTTGATGTTTTTATCATCCTTGTGGGAGGCTTCTCTCATGTCCCCGCATGAGGAGCTGGAGCTGATAGAGGGAGCTCATCCACCTCTCCCCGGATTCGAACCTGCAACCTGTCGGTCTTCAGTCCTGCCGGCACAGGGGTTTAACCCACTGCGCCACTGGGGGCTCCAGCTCTGTTTAGCTGATGTAAGATATTGAGAGGGAAAAGCATCCCATGCCTAGTTTTGGAATCAGAATATGTAGTAGAGATCCATTAACAAAGTGTTCTCATACTGGTACAAGAAATGACTTTTCTTTTGAGAAATATTTACCTAATGAAAAACAACTTCATTAGTGGGGTAGAAAAATATAAAAAAAATTAAAACAGCAAAACAGCAGAGGGAAAGCAATCAGGGACATCTAATCACCTCTCAACAAAAGATTGCTCCAGGCACTGCCAGGCTATCAAGTGCTAATCAAGGTGGTCAGTTGAAACATTCACACCTAGCTCCAGCAGACAAGAGTCCTTTGTCCCACCCTGGTCTTTCCACAGATATATAAACCCATTTTCCTAGTTCCAACAGACCTCACTACCTCTGAGGATGCTTGCCATAGATGCAGGCAAAACATCAGGAGAGAATGCCTCTAGAACATGGCCGTATAGCCTGAAAAAGCACAAAAATAAATGATTTTACACTATTTGAAGGCTACTTTTCCAACCCCAGTGTGAGGGTATCATGAGATTACAAAAAATCTATAGAAGCGTAAATGCTCACCTTTTCAAAACAAAGTATGTTTCATAATCACCAACTGCCTAGGCCCAAAAAGGCAGGCATGAGGTGAGAGGGGAAACTCTTGTACTATTTGTATCATGGGACATTTTTCTGTCTCAGTAATGAAACTGTCTTTGATGACATAAATATTCTATTAATGAAATGTCATTTTGGTACCTTGAGAACATTCCAAAGGTCACATACATATGACATACTGACAGTTTATAGTCTATGTAACTCAATTCAATACATCTCCATCCATAACTCCATGTTTGTACTATAAATTCAACTCCATGGAAAATGAGCACTTTATATTCGCGAGGGAAAAGGAGAGACATGGAGCTCCAACTCTGCAGTACATTTGCTCTTTTGTTCTTGGTTAGGCAACCAAAAATCTAGGAGGAAGAATGGCAAACATCCACAAGGGATAACTCTGATGGTCATCTCAGGCAAACAGGATGTTTAACTCCACTTTTCCGTTGTTCTGCCAACAATTAGTTCTGTGTTTAATCTTTCTTCTGCTGGCAACAAAGCCTCCATAGCTGTCATGGAGAAATGAGAGATGCTGACACGAGGAAACTAAATTAACTGTAACTTTGACCCCACTATCTGGTAAAGAAAGGAACAGTAGGAGATTTAGCATTAACCAGATGTGTTCCTCAACTCCAGGGTTCAGTTTCTAGCAAAAGAATTTTTTGATTCTGGACAATAATTAGTTCCCATTATAAACAAGGTGTGTCAGGAGGACAGTTATCTCATGGAAAGATAAACAAAGAAAATGACAAGAGGTGGTGGAGAGTAGGCAGTGTGTACACTATACACATTTTGAAAGCAAGCGATTATCTTTATGTTTTGGAAAAGAAGATAGGTATATGTAACAAAGGACAAAAGTCACCTAAAACTCTAGTAAATGTGGTTGGCAGTTCAACAGATCTATTTTTGGATATGATGACAAGAAGGGGAAAACCCAGTGTATATTTCTCAGTAGAGATAATGCTGTTTTATTTCTTTTATTTCTTTAAGAAACCTGGGGGGAAACTCAGAGAACTTAAACAGAACAAAGCTCTGTGTGCCAAATTAATTCTAGGTCCATCTTTGGTGAAGTTTAGAGTGCTCTTAGATTGCAGGTAAACTATACATCCCAGTACCTACAACTCCTATAAATCATGGTGAATTCTCCCCAAACCTCTCTAGTATGTTGTTGCTGATCAATTCCTTTGTTTACTGTGTGCCATAGAAAAGAATAGGAAAGGGTTATGGGCAAAGCAGTGGACCTTCTCAGTGGTGGCCCCCGCCTGTGGAACTCACTCCCCGGGGAGATTAGATCGGCGACTTCCCTTCTGGCGTTTAGGAAAAAACTGAAGACCTGGGTGTGGGACCAAGCCTTTGGTCATTCTGACAACTAATTTAAGGATCTGACGATAGACAAGGGCAAATGGAATGGAATGGATATATGGACTCTGAACCCTGAGCATGAGATTGTTTTATTATTTTATGATGTATTGATGTTTTTAATTTAACTGTTGAATTGCTTTGTATTTTGTACTGCTTGTCAATGGATTTGGGCATCTAATTGTGCCTCCTCTGTAAGCCGCCCTGAGTCCCCCCCGGGGTGAGAAGGGCGGGGTATAAGTAAGTGAAATAAATAAATAAATAAATGCAAATTCCACACAATGGAGAGATGAAGAAACACTAGGATGTATGTGGTGGAGGAAACACATAAAATCTAGGATGAAACTGTCCCCATATGAAAGCCTTCACTTGGGTGGTGGGCAGTATGGTGTTTGTGGAGGACATTGGCAGGGCTCTTGTACATGTTCATGGCACTCAATATAACCTGCAATGCCATTGGAGGGAGGGCCATTGGTGTCTCCTGAGTAGTGGGAGCTATAGCTGTTTTTGGAGGCAGGAGCTTGTCTGTGTAAGTGGACACCCCAGCCACACAAACATACATATTTTCTCAGTTCTTGTGGGTTTTTTCGGGCTATATGGCCATGTTCTAGAGGCATTTCTCCTGACGTTTCGCCTGCATCTATGGCAAGCTTCCTCAGAGGTCTGCTGGAGCTGGGAAAAAAGGGGTTTATATATCTGTGGAATGACCAGGGTGAGACAAAAGGCTTTTGTAAGTTGGGCTAGGTGTGAATCTTTTCAACTGACCACCTTGATTAGCATACAATGGGCTGACTGTGCCTGGAGCAAACTCTTCTTGAAAGGTGATTAGATGTCCCTGCCTGTTTTTCTCTCTGCTGTTTTAATTTTAGAATTTTTTAATACTGGTAGCCAGACTTTGTTCATTTTCATGGTTTCTTCCTTTCTGTTGAAATTGTCCACATGTTTGTGGATTTCAATGGCTTCTCTGTGTAGTCTGACATGGTGGTTGTGAGAGTGGTCCAGCATTTTTGTGTTCTCAAATAAAATGCTGTGTCCAGGTTGGTTCATCAGGTGCTCTGCTATGGCTGATTTCTCTGGTTGGAGTAGTCTGCAGTGCCTTTCATGTTCCTGGATTCTTGTTTGGGCACTGCGTTTGGTGGTCCCTATGTAGACTTGTCCACAGCTGCATGGTATACGGTAGACTCCTGCAGAGGTGAGAGGATCCCTCTTGTCCTTTGCTGAACGTAGCATTTGTTGGATTTTCTTGGTGGGTTTGTAGATTGTTTGTATGTTGTGTTTCCTCATCAGCTTCCCTATACATATTTTCACTTTTATTATGTGTATAGTTTGTTTTACCTCACTATAAAAATGTTTTTTGACAACATGAGTAAAGATTTAGTGAGAAGCAGAAAAACTACAATGTGTGTTGATTCTGACAAAAATTGGCTCCCTTTCAGGTTGACATTGACATGTTTGTGTGTCTTCAATAATGATCTTGAGCAATATCATTCAGATCCTGAATGTTTTCAGAACCTGTTTCTCCTCTGTTTTATCTGACAGTTTTTTTTAAAAAAAGTAAACAGCATTATCTCTACTGCGAATTATACAGCAATGACCTAATAATACTAAAATGAATTTAGTGCTAGCCAAGTGGTCTTGGAGCTTGAATGCACAAAAAAGTAAAATGTACTTAGAACATAGAAGAGAATCTTATTACCTTGCATCTTCTGGAGATTCAGTGATTAAGTGATAAGTTCTGTCTTCCATGACAATGTCAATCCCATTTTCCTTGCTAGTATTATCAATGATATCTCTGAAATGGATAAGGAAGGGTGAAGTGCAGTGAATCCATACCAACAGGATCCTGGTGTTTCAAAAATAATCTCGCTTCATTTTAAGCATCTGAAGTCTAATTCTAATGCCAAGAAACAATTTACTCTGCTTCCCTGCTTCTATGCAGGCCAATTCTTACACCCATGCAAACATTTTACTATTGATCTGCTTCATTTCCATCTTAATTTTCTCCATCTATTGATCTGTGTCGGCTATCATCTGCTGGAATAATTTATGTCTCTGAGATAGATTAAACTGGCTACACACCTCACACTAACCAGGAGAAAAGAAGCAAGGTCAGATTCAAATAGCAATGGACTGGAGCTGAACTTCAATTTCACAGAAATCAATGGAGAATGTTAGTAGTCACCATAACTGAGGTTCACCCGTTTTAACTGAGAAGCAAATTCAGTGGTTTGGGTCAGCTGCTAGTGCTACTCCACAAATGCTAAAAAAGTGCCAACAAAAGACTAAGTTTATAATGATTTAGTGGGCCCTCAGCACGCCTAGGGGTTTGGTTCAAGGACTCTCCATTGATACCAAAATCATTAGATGCTTAAGTTCTGATATACACAATGGCACAGTAAAAGGATCCTTTATATAAAATAAGTGCTGGAGAGAGATTGAGGATCTGTTAAATGGGTGGAAGGGTATGCCTACACATCATTTTAGTTCTTAGGGCATGGCAAAATCAAAGGTTGTTTTCATTCCAGATATTTTTGAGCTGTGGTTGGTTGAATCTCCCTTGCCCCCTTGTAAGCCACCCCGAGTCCCTTTGAGGAGATGGTGGCGGGCATAAAAATAAAGTTGTTGTTATTATTATTATTATTATTATTATTAGAAACGCAACAAGATGTGTCCACAGTAGACACTCCACTGGCTGTTGTAGTGGATCACACGTTGGACACTTCCCAAGTGTCTAGGACTGTGTGATGTATCGGCAAATAATGCGTGCAGATCCCAGTAAGGTGGCCTTCTGCAGCTGGCAGATGGTAATTTTGTCAGCGCCGATTATGTTTAAGTGAAGGCCAAGGTCTTTAGGCACTACACCCAGTGCCTATTATTATTATTATTATTATTATTATTATTATTATTATTATTATTAATCCATGGATGAGCAAGCATAAGAACAAGTTTTGGAATTAGTTTTATTTTTCTAGAATAAGAGGTAAGAAGGCCATTTGTCTGGGAGTGGAGGAGAGAAGGTGAGATAGGGTCCTGAGGTACTGCCAGTCTGCCCAATTTAGTCTCCGGTCGTGACTTTATGGTATATACAAGATACACACATTCTCATTGGCCTCATCTATACTGACCACTTAGCTTGGTTTGGAAGGCAATCAGCTAAACACCGCACATAATTAATCCAAATTAATCCAGGGCAAATCTGCCTAATACATTTTTGCTCCAGGTTAAACTAACTTAGGGAAAAGCAAGAATTGGTTTCTCTCCCAATTTGGGGACAGTCTAGACCAGTTATTCCCAAAGTGGGCGTTACCGCCCCTGGTGGGTGCTGCAGCGATCCAAGGGGGTGCGGTTATGGCCACAGGTGCATTTGGGTGTGATGAATAACTGTAAGGGAGCAGTGAAAGCATAAAAGAAAGAAGAGAAGATTTAGAAAAATTGATTTCCAGTGGGTAGGCCAAATAAGTTTGGGAACCACTGGTCTAGACAAATGGAACTGGCTGCAGCTGTCTCAACAAGCCACTCCATGCTTCCCAGGCTCAGGTGACATAGGGACATGAGATAGCTGCTCCCTCCTAACCCTCTCCTGTGCCCGTCTTATGCTTGGGGGTTCTCTTTCCTTCCATTGGGTTGTGTGACCCACAAAGGAGGATGGGGAGAAAAGTGGCAGTTGGGTAGTGCCAAACCATTTTTGGCACAAGCGGACAGTGGGGAGTCCCTGTTGTGCCTGCTTTAGTAGTCAATAAAGAACTGCCCATTGTTACAAGCTAATAGTTTCATTCAAAACCAACGGCAGCTAGGGACAGTGCTTATGCCAATGTTGTGGAGATAGCAAATTGGTGTGGGCTGAACTATCAGGCCACTAGTACCTCTCCTTCTCTAATTAACCAAACTGTTAGCCTTGGCTTGATACAGAAAGGCATTTCTTGTATTATGTTTGAGAATAAAGCAATAGGAACAAATTGTGAGCAAAGTTATTTAGTATATTACACAAACTCCTCTGCTAAGCTAGATTGATTCTTGAATATCCCATAAATACCTGGATTAATGGTCCTTCATCCTTGTTATCTCATCAGATAACACAGCTGCCTGCTAATTCACAGCTCAAGTTGAGAAGAGGAACAGCCTGCTCCCAAGGCTGGCCTTTCCACCTCGTCCACTAAGATCCCGACAGTGCAAGGCAATATCATTGCTTTAGAGTAGGGATGGGTAATGCATTTGTTTTTCATTACGAAGTAAACCATATCCACATTTCCTTAACCGGATATGCAGTAAGACATCAAGATTCCTATTTCCTAGTTTGTGATCCCTTTTGCAACAATATAGGCAAAATAATATGTGATTTTGAGTAAGTATTCACAAAAGCACATACACTGAAGACAAAAATATTAAGAAAAATGAACAAAAAATATTCAAGAAAAAATGGTTTCCAAATTAAAACATTAGTAAAATACATATTTTAAAAAATGAACATGAAAACTTATGAATTTCCATGCAGTTTAAAAAAATATTTTAATTCAATGCTGAACTGGGACAGAACAAACTAGAAGTGGAAAAATGAGAATGTGACCAAAACTGAGGTGGACGGATTTACCTATTCCTAGTTTAGATAGCTTTGGGAAAGGAGAGAAGGGACAATTATTTGAAGTTTCAATATTTTTGAGAAATGATTACATTAGCTAATATATGTATGAGAGACTTTAAGCAGGCCTCACTTACTTGGCCATTCGGATTTCAAGGGTCCCTTTAAGTTTTTCTTCACTATCATTTTCAAAGTACATTAGCCTGGACTGACGGAGGACAAACCAGCGCCTTTTCCAGTTTCTTCTGGAAAGCGTAGATGACCCACCGCCTTTTTTATGCAACCAGCCTTGCTTGAGAGCTTCCTGTTTTGAGCGGAACCACAAGAAAGTCTCATCTTTCAAGACACACCAACGGCGCTTCCATGTATTTATCAAGCCACCTGTCAAGGCAGGAAGTGAGGGAAGAGAATTAGGTTATAAAACACTTGTTGTTGTTGTTGTTGTTGTTTTTAATCTATTGTTTATCTGTCATTCTATATTGTAAAATACCAAAGGTTAGTTTTAGGCAGCCAATTATATTTCAGGAAAATTCGTAAACAAGAAATCACCAATAACACTGGTCAACACATATTTTGGTGCTTCAAATGTTAGACCTGTTACTGAGTATACTTGACTTGATCCAAAAATGTTACTAGTTTCCCGCTATTAGTTTAAGTTTTTGAGAAACAGAACATATGCCATCTACCAGTTGTCACTTTCCTGCCCATAGAAAGTCATGATAACTATATCTAAGAAACTAGAGCTGATGCAGTCTATCCAATTGCAATTTTCTGAATCACTGTCCCAAATAACCCCTAGAAACAAGCTGAAAGACCAAGACACCAAGATTTTTTTTTGTTGAGATGTGTAATTTTCCGAGGAAGCACTCATGTTCCTAGGAGCACAAATTAAAAGGATTTAAGTGATTGAGTCAATACTAAAAACTGCAAATGTTGCTTATAGCACAAATAAAAACAAACCTTCACTGTGTTCAAACACAACTGGCTGAAGCAGGAGAATTTCAAGCTGCACTCTCTCCTGACTAGGATCTGAGAAATCTGACTCACTCAGATACTTCTCCCAAGTTTATTCACTACCCCTACTGATTCATTTTTCCCCTTATAGGTCAATCTCAGTAATAGGGTCCTGAGTGTAGACAGGTGCCTTGTCAGAGGGCTTTCATTCTGTTACAAGGGATAATGAATCCACCATTCTAATACATTTTTAAAAAGAGAAATACAGTACAGAATTACATATAACCAAAAGTTAAATGGAAAGTCAACAATCAGGCAGAATCTCAACAAAACCACAATATAATTATCATATGGATCAAAGCTAAGGTTTCTCAATAGTTGTTTGCTTCCATCTATTGAGATGTTTCCATATGCAAGAATACCCTTAATAAGCATTTACATCTCACACCAGCTGAATCAATGGTCTGAAACAACCTTCTCTTTGGATATATTTCTTACACGTGCCTAAACCTTTGGGCTGCCATGGTCCTTCATTTTCACAATTTAAAATAGATATCATAAAACACAGGAAACACATGAGAGAAAACTGATAAAATATGTATCAGTTTTATTGGCCATGGTCACAGGAACTCTACTTGGAAAAATGGCATAATTCCAAGTACCATTAAAATAATTCTGCATCATCATAGCTTCTAATGGCTTTCTAACGCCCCCAAAAGTTGCTGGCCGCTATTATTCAGCTAATGGAGAATATCACCTCATTTTGGTCTTTTAAACCACTTTGGATTGTTTCATACCTTTCATGTACAAAAAGCTATGGAAATAAGGCAGGCTGACACAGCTGTAGACTGAATCCCTCCGATAAGAAAGTTCATCGTCTGTATCAAACCTTGACTCAAAGTCTTCTTCACTGTCTTCAAACTGGAAGATAAAGATTGACAGAACATGAAGAATCAGCTGACCAAAAAATCATAACCTGGGATATGCTCATCACACTATGTCTTTATTCAGGCATTATCTTCTTTAAGAAGATCTGCACAGGGATATCCTGTAATGTCTCCTGAAGTTACAGGAGACACTACAAGAAGAATTACTTGAGTGTGAAACCTACTTCCACTCTCCCAGGGGCAATCCCAGTACGTGGAGCAGGGCAGGAATAACATGTGAACTTTTTTTTAAACTTGAATTTTCATCCTAGAATATCATCTTCAAACAGCAGGTTTTATTTTGCAAACAGATTATTTTCATATACAATTGTTGTCTATCTACCAAAGTTATTTCCTTTATTTCTAAAAAAACAAAAACCCAAAACTTAATCTGTGATTCACATGCGACTTCATTTATGTCAGTAAAATAATTCTATACTTCTAAAAAAATAGCCAAGCAGTTCACTTTATGTGTAATTGCAGAGTATCTCTTGTAATAAATCCTTCTTCCCAGATGATAATTTACTCTCATGGTAAAAGAAGGTATCTATCTAAACTTAAGTAAGGTAACAGGATGTCATTTGGATACTCGCAGGAACACCTCAGCAAGTGAGAGTTCAAAAGCGGCAGGCTAAAACTTGGAACCTCAATCCATGGCTGATACCGAATGAGAAACTCCCTCCTGGGCACACAGAAGACTGGGTGACTCGGAAGACGCTGAACTGACTGTGCTTTGGCACCATGAAATGCAGAGCCAGCCTTAAGAAACGGGGCTACAAAGTGGAGTCCACGACAAGCGAGTGTGGAGAAGAGCAAACCACAGACCACTTATTACAATGCAGCCTAAGCCCTGCCACATGCACAATGGAGGACCTCCTTATAGCAACACCAGAGGGATTCCAAGTAGCCAACTACTGGTCAAAGGACATTTAGTAAAATGCCAAGGTTTTAACTTTGTTTGAGTTTTTAAATACATTACAACTGTACCCTCAATTTGCTTCTGATACTATAAATATATATAATAAATTTGGTTAGCTTTGTTGAAATGGACAGAAATCTATTTCTGAATTACAATACAAAACCAACAATCTATTATTGTAAAAAAAAACTATTAGCAAATGCTTATTTTGGTAAAACTTTCAACCCTTTCCCCCTTTTTTTCCTTCTGTAGATTCCTTTTCAATACGACTCAAAGTTTTCAGTGATGATTTGATGTGACATATATAAGGAAGTTTGATTTCATCTGTTATGTTTCAAATTTCACTATGGGTTCACTGGCACTTAAAGCACACATTAACTACAAAAGTAAGCAAGGGAGACTCTTCTCCCCTGACATACATATCTGCATATACAAAATTTCTGAATCCTGATGTTAACTGAAGTTGCACTTGGAATACACTGGCAACTCTAATCTAATTTCATTACCTTTTGTGCACTTGAAAATATTGAAAGACTACAAATGATGGGAAGGATGGCCAAGCAAACAAGAAAGGAATTATTGGAATATCAAGATAATCAATTAAGATCATAAATTAAGATGGAGCCCCTGATGGAGCAATGGGTTAAACCCTTGTGGCAGCAGGACTGCTGACCAAAAGGTCAGCAGTTCAAATCTGGGGAGTGGGGTGAGCTCCCTAGCTTCTCATGCGGGGATATTAGAGAAGCCTCCCACAGGATGGTAAAGCATTGGGGTGTCCTCTGGACAATGTCCTTGCAGATGGCCAATTCTCTCACACCAGAAGTGACTTGCAGTTTCTCAAGTCACTCCTGACATGTAAAAAAATCAATTAAGACAATCCTTGACTAAAAGAACCATACTTCACAAACGTTGGCAACATTAACTTGAACCTAGGACATGTTAATATTACTATTAGTCATCCTCAAAATGGTAAAGAAAAAGTAATGCTCACAGAAGACTGGGCTCCCTCAGAACTAAATCTGTACGCTCCAGAACTGTTGTATGTTCCCACAGAACAGCGGTAGTCAGGGGACCACTGACTACTGAGAGAGTTAGAAAAGGTCACACTGCTTCCAGAAGTGATAGCACCATCTTCGTAGTCATCTTGGTCATAATCGTAGTCTCCATCTGGGCAGATTAGGTCTGTGGGATTCTGGGACCTACAGGATACATTTTCTGGCATGCAATATGTGGATTCACCACTTGAGGAGTTGTGGAGACTGATGGAGTCATGGCTAGAAGGAATAAGTGTGGTGTTGCCAGTAGCAGGACTCGTTGGCACTACTGTGTCATTCATGTATGGGTCTTCTTCTGAAGAGTCATCACTTGTCCTGATGCCACTTGTCCTTTGATCAGAGTGGCCATGCTCACTTGGGTTAGGTGAATCCTTGAAAGCATCATCATCTGCTTCAAAGCCCTCATCAACCTCTTCCTCGGGGTATGGCTGGCTGAAGTTAAAATTGGGCTTTTCAGTGCCTGCATTCCCAGTCAGTTCGCTTAGTTCACAGAAGCCACTACCTACAGAAAGCGTCCTCTCAATGTTTCGGACACATTCATCAATTTCATCAAAGTTTAGGGATTCCAAGAACTCCTGTGCTGCTCGGCAGGCTTCATCCTCTAGTCGCTTCAGCTCATCGTCTCTGAGTTGCTGCAACCTCTGCAACGAAGCCTCTGTCAATGACAGTTCTTGCTGCTCCTTCATGCGCTGCAGGTCTTCAATCTCTTTTTCCAGACGCAGGATTTCTTCCACTTGCTTGTTTTCTTTCTGCTTCTCCAGGTCTCGTTTCAACTCTTCCTCTTTCTGGGCTTTCTGAAGAGCTGCCAGTTCCTGCTGTCGTCTACCTTCCTCTGCCTGCATTTGAAACACACAAGATTACTTGCTAAATTACTACAATAACCCTTCCATGTTTTTCACTCAGAAAAGCTCACCCCCCTTTGTTCAATGCTTGCGATGAACTGTGTATGGCAAAAGTTAAATTGTAGCACATTGTTTGTAAAGAATTTACATGTTATATGAAGTATAGCGGTATTGTTGATAATAGTGGTTCCCACTGAGACTCTATGTTTCCATAGCACGTAGCCCAACATGCCCAGAGTCTTGATGTCATTATACTTTGTCTCCTACCATCTGATCATTGGATGTCACTTTTGGAAATGGTGAACTATTACTCAATGACATCAGAATACTTCAGGGAAAGGGGTGCAGGAGAAATTAATATGATGCTGTCACTTCTGTTATATGTATTGTCGAAGACTTTCATGGCCGGAATCACTGGGTTGTTGTAGGTTTTTTCGGGCTATATGGCCATGTTCTAGAGGCATTCTCTCCTGACGTTTCGCCTGCATCTATGGCAAGCCTGCATCTATGGCATCTATGGCTTGCCATAGATGCAGGCGAAACGTCAGGAGAGAATGCCTCTAGAACATGGCCATATAGCCCGAAAAAACCTACAACAACCCACTTCTGTTATACTCTGTACTTGTGGGCTGATATCCTGTTAAGCCGTTATGAATGAATAAGTAAGTCTTACATATTTGTGAGTCTTCAGTATTCATGTTTATGATTGTGACACTTGTCATGACTGCAAATCCCCATCCTCAATCTATCTGAGCAGGAAGCAACATCCTGAAAAATTGAGGTCTGTTCTGATTGGCATTTGGAAAGATGATGTTTCCAGCTTGCTCCCATGATTATCAGAAGGCTGGAGGTTGGGGCTGGAAACATTATCCTGAAAAGCCTTGATGGCTAGCACAACAGATCTTTCAGTCAGTGCGACTGCTAAGTCAGGAGACAATATTCATAACTACATCTGAGATGTAAGATCTTAAGTCTCATTACTTGGTTCAAATCTTGAAATGACGTAGAGGTATAGAAAGAGCACCAACAAATAATAAATACAAACAGTTTAACTTTTTGTAATTTGTTATCTTTTATATCATAGGAGATCCCTCAAAACAAATGTTATGCCCATTGACTGACTCAAACACAAAAAGGGGGTGCATAAAAAAAGTCCTCAGATCTTACCTGCCGAGCAATCTGTTCTGCTTCCTGCTTTTGTCGTTTTCTAAAAAGGACAATTTAAAAAAATTACAAATAGTACTAGCAGAAGCCTGTGCTATTTTGACTGAAAACTACATTGTTAACCAGATACAGTCAAATAATGGATCAATTCCATACCTTTCTTCTTCCTCCTTCCTCTTCTTTTCCTCTTCTTGCTGTCGTTTCTGCTCTAGCAGCTGTTTATAAATACGACGTGCAATCTGGCCTCGAAGCTGCTTCTGAAAAGTAGTAGCTGCTTTTTTCAGGAGTAGGTATCGCCTTCTAAAGTATAAAGCTCTGTAGTTCTTCTGTATGACAATCGCATAGTGAAGGACCTTTTTGTAGTGCTTTCTGAAATGGAACAGAGATGTGTTTATGTGAATAAGGCATGATGAACTAGCTACTAGAACTATCCATCATACTGGAAAGTATTAAAGATTCCAGAAAGAAACTACAAGAGCATCCATGCCCCCCCCCCCCCACATGTTACTGATCCCTTAAGAAGACTAGACTCAGACTCTAGAATCTTTGTAAGATTCTATATTGTAGTCAATATATATATTGACTAACGAAACATATTTTTCATACTATTATCTACTAACATCCATTATAATTCACCAAGATACCAAGAAACCAGAAAAGGAACCTAACAGCAGGATAACCTTTATCCTTAAGAAAGTTTTTTTTTCTTTAGTGACCTATTGGTCAAGATATATAGGTCAGGCTAATATACACATGAAAAGAAATGACCTCACTGCACAAACAGCTATTAAACAGCCATCTATTGACTTGTGGTGGAGTAAACAGATGGGATCTACTATTCAGACTCTAGTACATAATGCATGACAATGTCATAATTCAGTCACCTAGTACTTTTGTTCTTTTATTGCCTAGGGGAGCAGGGGAAACCAAACTAAATAGCTTGTTCTATTGGATCATCTCTTACTTCTGCCACTGCAAATACATTACAGCTACAATTCTCCAAAAACCCCTTTCTCTTAATGCCAAAAGAGAAAGGCAGAGAGAGAAAAGATAAGAGGATATTACCCACAAATAAGTGATTTACAAATGACAATCAAACTATTCAGATAGCATAACTGGGAAAGATATCGATGTTGCTTAGATAAATGCACTACAATGATGGCTCTTCTCGAAGCGTAATGTGCTGACCCAATTATTATTCTTACTGATGTGGAAAATCTCCATGTCAACACTGACTCCTTCTTTATTACAGAAATAAATCATGAACAATTATGTATGTATGTTTTATACTATGGAAACATCATAGTATAAAACTCTTGTTATATGTATGTGTGTGCTTTTAAGTGACCTATTGACTTATGGTGACTCCATTAAATTCATAGGATTTTCTTAGACAAGAATCATTCAGAGATAGTTTTGCCAGTTCCTGTCTCTTAAATATATTATACTGCACCTGGTATTCCTTGGCGGTCTCATATGCAAGGACTTACCAGAGTGGACCCTGCTTAACTTCCAAATGTTTTTAGGGTATTGACATCTCAATAATTTCGAATTGTATCAGACTCCATGGGGGAAAATGGTATAAATAATCTCACAATGTGCAGTCCTTTCTGGTAAATGATGCCAACTTCCATTTCATTTATTTTTTTCATGTTTATTAATTACCTAAAATTACCTAAATTACCTAAAAATTGATTCTCTAGGCATTGTATCATCCATATAAAAATACATGGCAATAATACCACACATTACGATATATCAGTTAAAATACAACATAGCCCAGTGTAATAAGCAGGGATTGTAGATATTCAAACTACCAATCAGGTATAAAAGCTAAACAACAACAACCATCATCAACAATATATCACTGGAGTTAAAATATTAGATACCGAATTACCAAAAGCTACGTAAAATACTTAATAGATGCTGTATTATGTGGCACTTCAGCTCACTGACTAGGAAAAGATTGGGCCTCAAGAATAGATTTGTGTGATAGAACAGGAAGATGGATTCTATTTCACAATGAGATAGTGGTTTCTTTAAAAAGGACTCATACAGTTTAACAGTCCACAGTTAGACTAATATATCAAATAGACATCAGATGTAGCTTTCATTGCAAGTGAAAACACAAGAAGTTCCATTTGATTCTACTTTTAATGTGTTTCAGGCAGAAATCATGAGGAAGGCTGAGATCCCAGACTGCTATGGGCTTGAGGTCTCTTGTTAGACATTGCTCAGAGTCTACTTCCCTGATAGTAAAGGCAGTTTCTAGTTACGTACCGTGCCATGTAGCCCAAAACATGCGCTCGTATAATCATGGCTGCTTTGTCAACCTCTATCTCTCGCTGTTTTTCCAGCTGGTGCTCCAAGGATTCACGAAGAAACACCTTGAAAGAAGTTCAAGCAAAGCGTTTTTTAACATGATACTTGAATTTATTCAAATAATTTTGGGAGAAAGGTGAGAAAATAAATAAATTAAGTCTTTTGGTCCTTCAGAGCCATCTCAAGATTTTTTCCAACCTACTCTAGGCTTGGGTAGTTAATCAAGATTTTAAATTTTATGTCTCTGGATGATCAATCTGATATGTAAAGGCTATATTCATGTTAGAAAAGGTCCACACATTCAGCAAAAAATAAAGTTTGAGAACAAGGCCTAAGTTCATTAGTAACCTGCATTATGAAGAAATGTTAGCATAGTCTAAGACCCTATGCATGCAAAAGAGGTGTATTGATTAAACGGTTGGGATTTGTTCATGACAGGTAGACCACACACTCTTGTGACAAAATATCTTAACCAACTCTTTTATCTACAATTCTAATAAAAAGTCTTTATTTAATTCTATTGTCATTATCTGGAGAATGTTATATTGCCATATCAATTAAGAATAAAGTATCTGAACAACAAGAAAATTAACAATGTAAACAGAGAAGATGAATAACTTATCATCCCAGGATATATAAGGATAACTACAAGGCAATATTATTATTTATTTCTTCATTGATTTTACATTAATGTGGTGCAGCAGGTTAAACTGCTAAGATGCAGAACTTGCTGACTGGAAGGTTGGCAGTTCGAATCCGTGGGATGGGGTGAGCTCCCATTGTTAGCCCCAGCTTCTTTCAAATTAGCAGTTCGAAAACATGCAAATGCAAGTAGATCAATAGGTACCGCTTTGGCGGAAAGGTAACGGTGTTCCATGCAGTCATGTCGGCCACCTGACCTAGGAGGCGTCTACGGACAACGCCGGCTCTTTGGCTTAGAAATGGAAATGAGCACTACCCCCCAGAGTCAGACCCATCTTAATGTCAAGGGGAAACTTTTACTTTTACTAAACTTCCTTAGTCAAATGGAAAGCAACTTGTAAGTGAACTACTGAGGAATTAAGCAATATCACTGAATACCTAAGCTTTGGTAGCATCAGTTAAGATCATAAAATGTACATATACAACAGCTTATATGGATCAAATGAGAAATTGCACCCCTATGACAGAAAATGTGACATTTTGATTGGCTGTTGGATTCACCATGGCTACATTTTCCACCTCAGGAATACACTTATGGAAGAAAGTCAGAAAAGTACTCTGTTATGCACAACTACTGCATTCCTGCAAGTTTGGACAAAGACATTTTTATGGCAACATAGTTGCAATAGATTGCTGTGGGTTTTCCGGGCTGTACAGCCATTTTCCTAAATATTCTCTCCTGATGTTTTGCCCACATCTATAGCAGGCCTGTTGTGAGCTCTGTTGGAAACTAGACAAGTGAGGTTTATGTATCTGTGGAATGTCCAGGGTGGGAGAAAGAACTCTCATCTGTTTAAGGCAAGTGTGAATGTTGCAATTGGCCACCCTGATTAGCACTGAATGGCCTTGCAGCTTCAAAGCCTGACTGCTTCCTGCCTGACGGAATCCTTTGTTGGGAGGTGTTAGCTGGCCCTGATTGTTGCCTGTCTGGAATTTTGAATGTTGTTCTTTTATTTACTGATAGTTGCAATAGAAAATTCCAAAATAAATTGTAAGGACACATAAGTTAGTGACTAAATCGTATGTACGAAGTTTGTCAAGTAACTTCCTCTTTCTTGTGTCATTGGTTTATATGGTTGCTGTTTGTTGCTAAATTATAAAATATTGTGTGGGGGGGGGGGAGGTTGTCACATGGACAGATTACACAATTTTTGGTTCCTGGGTTATAATTGGTTCTATCATAAAAACATGGGGAAAGCTTATTAAACTACAAAAACTTTTGGCTATAGTTTTTCAATGAATATCTCAGAGACTCAACCAATTCAACATAATTTGCGACAGTCACAAAAATGAAGTTTCTGGAGTATAACAACTAATTTCAAAGTAAGTACCACATAATTAAACTAGAAATAACACTTTCAAACCAGGAACAGAAAATGTTTCAAATTTTGTTGCATCTTATTATTGTAACATACATGTAGGCTGCTTTTGGAAACTGTTTAAGATTTGTTGCGTGGTTTTTTTTTTACCTTTGTATAAATTATTTTTAGCTACACTATATTTTTAAATTGATTATAAGCTACCCTGGATCTTGCACAAGGAGAAATGTAGAAACCAACCAATCAACAAATTAATTAAATGGCCATTGGTTGTACAGAAGAGTTTTCTCATTGGGCAAAAACAATAGCTGACCTGGTTGCCATTGATTTGATATCTTCAAAGATCAGGCAGATGGATATGACTATTTTACATCGACACCCTGACTAGACAGACTTTCCCTAGTTTAAGAAACTATTTGTTTCTTCATTTGGAATGGAAAAGTTTATAGCCAGTCAATTTAGAATGTGCTTTCAATATGCAGAATTGAAAATAAACAATAGTAATACAAATATAACTATATCAATTGCTAATATTTTTCTCAATTAGGAATTGAAGCAGAATAACTTGGAAAGGTTAAGTGCTTTCTCTGTGTTAATACACAAATGGCACTGCTGCTAGAGTGTACTTTAACAGCTCCCTAGTTTTACATTAACAATTAATTTTTATCTTACCTTAGATTTTCCAAGCTGCCATTCAGTGTTTGTGCTATCATATAGCTGAAGGAGGGTGGTACACTTTCCTTTCAAATCTTCTGGGAGAGTCAAATTCCTCATCAGGACTTTGTATCTGTAAAAATAAACAAGCAAAAATGTGTTTGCTTTCTCTCTCTCTTTTTTAAAAAAGAATGCTTAACTTGGGAGGTTGATGTTTGTTATCTTTTCTTCAATAGGAGGTTTACCTTTTATAAAAGTCTTGAAATGGCCTCCGCACTGGAAATCCAGCTCTTCGGATACGCACTGTCTCTAGCATACCAGAGTAACGCAGCTGGTTCAGCACCACATTCTGATCAAACTGGTCAGGCATCTAAAAAGCAAATGCGTGCAGTCTGAAACATGTGCTACTGAACTAATACATCTGAATTTGCATAGCTGTGATTTAGGGAGAGCCAGAAATTCATAATTCAGAAGCATATGAGCTTGGCTATATTATTCTTAAATACAGAGTAATTTTCATTTTATATTACTTCTCGTTTACAAATCCATATTCAAAATGCATACATCTTGCATGGTGTCTTACATATGTAAAAGGACTTACATAGGTAAAACCACCTATGTTCCAATCTCAAACCTGCGGAGTTGGGATGTTTTAAACTCAGTTTCCAAGAAGTTTAAATGAGATGGGGTCACATGGCGCCCATCAGACGTGACAAGTGAAGTACAGAATATATTCTCGGGTACATCTTCACAAATTCAAAATATAAAATTAATTATAAAATAAGATAAAATATAGTTTACAGACTATTGAATATCTTTAAGAGATTTCAGTATAGATTTGCCAACTGGGTTTTGAACCTTTAATATTAGGCTGAGACACAAACATGTAAAATGTGGAATTCTCTGAGGCATGGAGAAAGTTGGTAAGAAAAATACCAGATGAAGGACCAACTCAGAAAACTGGCAAATCAGCTTCCAAGTGTAAGAAGCCAAAGGGACAATATCAGAAGCAAGGATATAATGCAATGATCTCTCAAAGTAAATTTTAAGCCTTGGGAAAAATAAAATGCCTTGATTAGTATTCCTTAATAGTAATCAAACCCTACTTGAGAGGCAAATGGCAATGACACAAACTTAATTCCCTTAAGAATAGCTGAGAATTGGCTTATTTAAAGAAAAATGTTCTTTGTTTATTCTTTTTTTAAGGTTGCACAGTGAATCCTGTGGTAAGGCATTTGTTGGTATAAACCCCTGAAAATTGTAATCTGAAAACTAGCATTAAATACTGTTTATTATAGTGAAATTAAATGCTTTGAAAATGGAAATAGATTCATTTATCTAAATACCTTTAAAAGGACTAGTTCCCATTTGACACTGGAAGCTAAGCAGCCTTGATTACTACTTGGATGGGAACCCCAGGTGCTGTAGGATATATTTCAGTAGAAAGAACTTGCAAAACCACCTCTGAGTATTTTCTGCTCACCAAAAATTCTATGAAATTCAAGGAGTTGACATAAATCAACAGGTGACTTGAGGTCACATATACGCCCAAATGGGTTCACATGAGAGATGGGAAGAAAGGAATGCCTTACAACCTATGTTCACTGTTACTGATCTTGAAAAGAAATGCAAAGTGTCCTCTTCAGCTCCACCTTAAAACACAAATGTGAGAAAGTCCTACTACTCCAAAGTTTGGCCCACCAGTTATAAGAACCTATTTAGTTAGTTATTTATTTACATATTATCAGTATATATACATACAATATATTATGTTATTAGCATAATACAATATCAGTATTAAATATTACTATATTGTACTATACCATTATATTGTAAAATTATTAGTAGTATTACATGTAATATAAATATATAATTATAATATATTATTATTATTAGTAGTAGTATTATATTGCATTACATTATAATATTATAAATATTATATGTATATGCAATATGTTATATTATATTGCATTATATTATACTATTAGAATAGCACAAAAGACAAGCATAGCATGTTCTGAAAATCTGGTGACAGATCAGAACTATACTAACTCAGAAAGCAAGTCAACAGTTCATACACATGTATATATAAGGCACATAAAAGGCTTTCAACATGGGTTTAGGTTGGAGTGTGAGCTGAGCAGCAGACCTAGCACTGTAAACCCTGTCTAAAACAAAGCTATACTTCATGAAATCAGCTTCTGCGTCTCCAATAAATGCCATGTGGTAACCTGATGTCAAGTTATACATACCTACCTTTCACCATGGCAGCTGAGCTTTTAGTCCAAATGAACTTATTCATCTGTTCTACCTCATAAAAATACCCACGTGCAGTAATAAACCATTCTTGCAGCAATAAAACTTTCTTAACACACAACAAAGGTTTTCTGTGATCAGGATGAAGATGCATAAACGTCCAAAACACCCTGTATAGCCATATTCCTAAATATGCCAGCTTCAAAAACAGTAATAAACTTTTCTGAAAAAGCATCCCTTTTCATTTCTATATCATCTTTTCATTGTACATGATGTGACATAAAATGTACAAATCAAAATATATGGAAGTAGTATTTCTCTAACACCTGATAGAAATCCCTGAGGAACATGTCTTTCCTTTGAAATCGTTTCATGACAGCACAATTCGAATATACTGCATTACATTGCATTCCCTGCTGTCGATGTATGCCGAGTAAGGGGGCAAGGAGGTACGGAACTATGACACCACAGTCACGTCTGTCTATCGGGGACAAAGGCAGTTTTACAGAAGGACAGCAAAACGCATACATTCAGATTTGAAACAGAACAAAATGTATTTTGCAAAACTTACTGTAACTTTCAAAGAAGGGTAAAAGGGAGTGTGTGAAACTGCACTATACTATATGTACTATATGGTACAAGTTTCATTTCAATACTTTCCAACACACATTCCTCCCAAACAATAAGTATACTTCAAGAACCAAGAATATCAAAAATCTACGTTAGCACTCACCATTTTACAGGCACATTTCAGAGTCCTCTTTAGCACTGGAAGCCAAAATCCGTAAGGAAAGCAACTGCCACACTGACCTTTTTCTCTGCCTGGCTAAAGACACTGAACAATAATGAACACTATTCCTGGTGCTTTAAAAAGTACTCAGTTGCTATGGCAACCCCTCCCTTTCTGAGGATAATTAGTGTGGTGTGGCTATGAGATCTGATGGGGGGGCTGGACAGGAAAGCATACAAATGAGAGGCGCAAGCAAGCAAGCAAGCGCAACAGATTCTCCTGCTCCTTGCTGCAGAGAGCAAACTCTGTGCACCTCGGAGAAAGGAACTTATACACTGGAGCTACTTAAAATTTAAATACTAATGGCTGTTATTAACTTATTAATACACTCAAACTGGAAAGTCAGGAATTAGAGGCTTGGTATTGCATTCTTTAACTGTCTCTCTGAAGTTAGCCGCCGAGTCCCACAACATAAGATATAAATATATGAAACATACATTGTAATGTGTTCCTCACGCACTATCACTTGTCATTTGGAAGATTTATTCCTTCCTGATTGGAATTTTCTCCTGCCGCATGACTGCAGTCAGTTGTACAATGCAACGGAGTTACAATCCAATATAGTGTCTTATAGATCGATTTCGTTCACAGATCAGTCTCAGCATCTGATAATGGGGTGCCTTCTTCCAAGTCTGGCAGGCTAGTGTGTGTGTCAATGTTTACTTTTCTGTATCATAGGGTGATTCAGCCCAAGAACTTTCTCCCGACACAGTGTTTCCTCACCATGCTCTCTACTCAAGGACACAAGTGGTCTGGACTGTGTAAGTTTTATTGAAGTGGATGATCCAGCAGAAGACATGAACCTAGAGGGTCTTTTGGTAGTCTCTAAATATGTATCTGAGGTTGCCTAATGACTAAGAAGCTAGGCTACAAAAATGGGTTGGTTCTAAGTAATGCAAAAAATTTTGAAAACTTTCCAACTTTGGTTCTGGAGGGCAAGCTCGAACCATTGCTAACTGATGTGAGTGTCATAGCAAATCATGACTGTGAGAAGCTACTATGATAAAATCAAACCAAAATGGAGGAAGATACACATAAGTCATTATTTCTCATTGCTTTCATCCTAATCTCAAAGCTCTCTACAGCCTCAATCCTGGCCAGAGTGAAGACAGAGGGGAGCAGAAGACAGTTCCATCTTGTCTTTACTAATAATATAATATAGTATATTGTATGTACATATAATATTTATAATATTATAATGTAAAACAATATAATACTAGTAATAATAATAATACAATATTATAATTATATATTAACATTACAAGTAATATTACAATATAATGGTATAGTGCAATATAGTAATATATAATATGGATATTGTACTATGCTAATAATATAATATTGTATGAAAATATATCTTGTAAGCTGCTCTGAGTCTCCTTTGGGGTGAGAAGGGTGGCATATAAATGCCGTAAATAAATAAAATAATAAATAATTTAGTCCTGAGTAGATCAGACCTAGACAGCCAGTGGTTTAAGTGTTGGTCTAAGACTCAGAAGATCAGAGTTTATATCACCATTCAACCACAGAAATCTATTAGGTGACCTTTGGTTAAGCCAAACTCTTTTCAGGAAGGCAATGGCTTACTTCCATTCGATAAATCTATTATCGCTCTTGTTAACTGTTGTCAAGCCAACTTTGACTTATGGCAACCCTATGAATAAGGGACCCCAAGTCATCCTATCATCAACTATCCTGTTCAGATCTTGCAGATTCATGATTGTGTCATCCTTGACTGAGTCTATCCAACTGTAATGTGGTCTTCCACTTTTCTACTGCCTTCTACCTTACCAAGCACTATTGTCTTTTCTAATGAGTCATGTCTTCTTAGAATATAACAACAACAGCAGCAGCAACAACAACAACAACAACAATAATCCCCCCATCGGATGCTGCCTTGTTGTTGGCGGGGGGGGGGGGGAACTGCTTCTATGATATTTAGAGCTGTGCTGGCGGTAGTGCAAACTACCTGTAGGCTCAACCAAACCAGAGTTGTCTCAACTTACAAGCAGAACTAAGTGTACCCAATTCATTTAAATATGATGAAACAAACCCTAAAGAGATCTATAATGGCTCAGTCGTTGCCCAGGATAAGGACCATGGTGAGTGCTTCTCACCATGGTCCATGGTGAGTGCTTCTCCTGAACACCCATTCACAAATGGGCTACAGGAACCAGGACCCACTGCTGAGCAACCAGAGCATGGACCTGTATGGTAACTGAAAGGAAAACTTCAAAAGCGGCAGAGATTTTCAGTATCACAGAATTGAACTGTCATGAACTGCTATTATAGGTCAAAACCCTTAAAATGTTATCAAAAATGGA